TAGAGCCCTCAGTCCTCGCAAAGACTGGCATGCCTCGACACACGCAATTTGTAACAGATTGGTCAATAAGCAGCCGTTATCTGAACATAAGTTTCACTCGCTCGATAACCGCTGCTTATCAGAAATCCGCTTACAAGACTCGCGCTCTGTGATCACTCAACAATCCCCTCATATGACACTGGCATTCATTGTGTCTATTCGGAAATAAGGCTGGCTTGCCGAACAACCTCCTCGTGGTGCCAGCTCAGTGGTTCGGGATTTTCCCGTTCCAGTAAATAGTTCGGCGGCAGTGTTCCAGGACGTGGTGGGTTTTCGCCTAGCAAGCGTTTTCCCTACAAAAAGCCACATATGTCCGTTTAACAACACCGTGACGTGGCAGACGTGACTTGCCACTAAATAAAGTCACTGCCCCTTGATTCATCCTGGCGAAGCATTGTATTCCAGCAACATGATGCTGTAATTTTGGGGAGCATTGGGCCCCTGTTTGACAAAGGAACAAACGAAAGGCGCATGAACTGAGCAATCAGTCACCGGCTCCCAATGGGCGCGATTCCCTGAATTCGCTCTGCTGCCTTGCGGGCGGGATATTCAGCCAAAGGCTTGGGGCGGTGTCCCCTAAGTCAACACCCTACTTCGGCTTGGGCGACCGGGTAGTATCTCGCCCTCTGACGAAACCATGGACTTTGATGTGTGTTTTCTTTTACAATTTCTGTACCCCCTTTTGTGTTCCATGGTCTCTGATGACTCTATGTCTATCCATAGACTGCTGCATATATATATATATATATATATATATATATATATATATTCAGAAATAATGCAACTCCGAATGCCGGTCAAGCTAGTGTAGGTATTACTCTGAGTTCCCCAGACGAGGCTGTTCTGGTCGACTGGATTCCAATCAAAAGCCAAATGTGTGCAGTCCGACTGTTCAGCTCGTCTAAAGCTTTGGAGTCGCTCGGGGCCAATAGGCGATTGTTTGCCATCGCTGTTTACGCCCTCACAAACTGAAGCACTGACTCGGCGAAAGAGGAATCCTATCACCAACTGAATAGGCACCTCCGCCATAGAGGAAGTAAGGATGATGTAGTGCTAGCTGGTGATTCGAACGTTCAAGTTGGAAAAATATCCCTCTGGGCGGCCAACACGGTGTAGGCTTCTGTAGTGAAAACGATGAGCGGTTGCTACAGCAGGGTGAAGATGTTTGTCGATTTCTCGCGAGCATCAACTTTCGATACAGCACGCGACAGAGGGTAACATGGTACCCACCAGCCTCAGACCAGCCATAGATGCCAACCGATCACATCGCGCTCACTTGACGCTGGAGAGGCTGCGTCTAAATTACCATCATCATCATCAACACACGTTAGCTGAGGGTGAGAAACACACCTTAGCTAACGTAACGCAATACAAGAAGACAGGATATTAAAAATATTACACTAGAAAAAGATTCAAAACAAGTAATGGGTTACATATTATATTGTGGATTTCGTATGAAATCGGAATTGGAGGGGATCTAAAGGAGAGGGGGATGAACAAAGAAACAAAACAGGCTGCGTGCAAAACTGCCGATCGATTCGGAGCACGCATTTATATGTGCTGATTTACGGGTGCGTTTCGGCAGACGCCAGCGAAGACGCTGTGAGTGCATAGACACCCGTCAACTGACGAAATCAGATGTCCTAAATGTGCATCAAAGGACGCTGGCATCCGAGCTGATTAGGCGATTACTGAACACAGTTGAAGGTCAGTGGTCAGATGTTCGCCAGAACATATTAGCAGCAAGTGCGTTTTCACGTAGTAAATCTGGTTGCCAATCCGGATATTGGGTCTCTTGATAGTCTCGGTAATTTCTCGGTGCTGGCCAATAGACGCCAGCTGGGAGTGAACACAATGAGACTTGCAGAGGTCCCAAAATGAAATTGTGAGCTTACCTGGTTATTCCGTATGGTACTAGGAACTGGCAGCAAAAGATTATAAGCGACGAAAGTGCACAGCCAATCTACAATTTGTCACAACACAGGGAGCGGTGGGCTGAACACTTTGAAAAGCCATTTAATCGGCCAGAATTGTCAGTTTCATCTCCAGCCAGCAATCGCTCTGCTACTTAGGCCGTCCCTTATGATCGACCTGGCTCCGAAATAAAGCGCGAGATCAAGCTGCTAATATTGCGCAAGGCCACGGAATCAGATGAGGTCCCTACAATTCTCTTCAAATTCAGAGATATGCTCTTGTGGATGATATACACGATCTATTAGTGAAACTGTGGGAGCTAGAAACTGTCACAACCAATTAGAGCAGATCTGTAACTGTCCCGACCTTCAAGAGGGACTCACGTTCGGAATGCGGCAATCAAAGAGGATTGTCCCCAATGTACTTCCCTATGCAGTCGCAGAATGACTAGTCTCGTGAAAGCCGGATTCGTGAAGATCAGGATGGGTTTCGTCGAAATCGAAGCTGCTTTGACATCACATGACGTCAGTTATTCGAACAACGTCAATAATACTGGCGACCCACCGTAGTCGTATTACTCGACATCAAAGAAGCTTTCGAATCGATGTGTTTTTGGGGGGATGTCCGATTAGAAAAGGTGCCCGAGAGATAGATAAACATTATAAGAGAGCAGATGAACATTGACTGTTGCCCATCCGAAAACAGACAGCTTTACGCGCGTAGATCAGAGAGTGATGACTTATTGAAAGATGTTGCTGCCCTTCAATATCTCCAGCGGTATGAAACAAGGAAGCCAGTTATCACTTTTCTAACTTCTCTACTGACGATGTTATGGAGGATGCGTTCATTAGTCAATTTCGAAAGCGTGGAATTGCCCCCCCCCCCCAAGTGATCGAGGGAACACCAGGGAGCAATGAGCGTGTCTCGTTTATGGTGTAGGAACAGGTAGTGAACCGCTCTATATTATTAGTTCAAGAACAATGCTCCGATGGCTGGGCTGTGTTCCGTATGTCAAAACACATCAACTGTCACGAACTGTGTTGCTTACGCGATCTGGATGGAATATGAGGAGAGAAGACTAACTGATTACTTGAGCTCTCTTGGAGCATCACGACTTTCTGGTTGGGGTCCCAAAGATGAGGAACACGTTAAGCTGGGTACACTTGTACACATGGACAGAGGCCGAACCCAAAGACTTTTGTGCAGTGAGATTCTATTCCGCCCCGTCCCGCTTAGACCCCCCCTCCCCTTACAACCACGATCTCGGTGCGAATCCATAACATGGAACAAAGCATACAAGTAATACAGTTCCACCTTTATTGTTTTTTAATTTGTTCTTCCCTTGTACCATCTGACTGAACTGTGTGCGGTATACACACCAGAAAGGGGGCGAGGAAAAATATAATTCCGGACCATGCATTTTCCCTCGGATCATCGACCCGATTACTCAAAATGCAAAACGAACAAATATTTGTAGCATTGTTTCCAAATTATCAAGGCAGCGAAACTCGGGAGCAGTTAAAATTAGAGTGGAGGAGAGTAGGTTGTATAGACATGTTTAATTCCATGGATAATGATAAAGAAAATGTAAGCTTGCCGTAGGCTACTGGCTACTCATATGTTGCCTAAACGAGCTTCCATCAGTGTTTCTTACGATTATTGTGAGCCAAGTGTCGCCCATTTTCGGGATAGTGAGGAAATTTTCCAGAGAATTTCAGAATGTGGCATGGTTAGCGCTTGTGCGCAGTTGCAGTGGCAGTCGACTGCACAGACTGGCATATCTCACTCAAAAGAAAGTTGATCGGATTTCATGACAAACATGTTGTAAGAGGGTAACAAGTAGCTGTCATTACGAATGGGATAGGTGGTAGTTTCCCGTAGTCACCGTGGAAATCCACTTGTTTATAATGTTGGAAAGAAGAATGAGATGGTTCTACAATTCGTATACTTACCGACAAGCGATATATACCTCTAGTCGGAAGCGATTATTTGTACAAACAAGTAATGTCGTGGTTTACTCGGCTTAAAACTCAATACTAAAAATAAAAAATAGTTATTCAGATCATGAATTTGCCCTCGGATGATCGACTCGATCACTCAAAAGCAAGGTATGAATATTTGTACCCTGTTTTCAAATTTCCTAAGTTGAGAAACTCTGTAGCATTCAAAATAGTGTCGGGGAGAGCAGGCTGCACAGGCACATGTTTAATTTCATGGGTAATGATAAAGAGAGAGTAAGTTGACTGTGGGGTTTTGACTACTCTTATGTTGTTTAGACCAGCATCCGTCAATGTTGCCAACTAAGGTTGTAAGCCAAATGTCCACAACACACTTGGCATAGTGAGGCAAGTCTCCAGAGAACTTCACAATGTGGCACGGTTAGAACTCGTGCGTACTTATAGTGGTAGTCGGATCCACAGGTTAGCATATCCCATTAAAATGTTGATCGGATTTTATGACAAACAGGCTGTGGTAGTCACCACGAAAATCCGCTTGTTTATAATGATGATGAGGACATCGTTCTCCAATCGTCTCAGCCATTCGGTGGTAGCGGAAACGATCATAGTAGCTCAGAGTTGAGCAGCGCGCCCCATGACCAGCTTGGCAATTGATCAGTATACATGTACAACAGCTGTCCTAGCTTTCTTCATTGGCTGTGAATGATAGCACAATACTCCACAATAGATCTCACGATAAGTCTGCACAACTCAAGTCGTGTTTCCGGTAAGAAAAAAGTCATGGGATAGTAGTCCGAGAGTTGTCTGGGTTTTGTGACTTGGTAAAACGGAAGAGTTGGAAAACCTAATACCCAGGACCATGGGAACTCGTAGCAAAGCAGTCCAGGATTTCAAATGTGAATGCGCGCAATAACCCAAACACACGGTGTGCGGTCCAAACCAAAGCCCCGCTTATGGGGCCGTGTACCGCTTATCGGTAAATATACAAATTTATTTAAGTATTACTCGCAAAGTAAATCCGCAACGGGTATTCAAAAATCCTGAAACGCTTTCAACTATCACACCGCGGTAAAACTCTTCTTAAAAATAAAGACAGGAAGCAGGCAAGGCAATTTTTCTGGTTGAGAACGTGACAGCAATAGAATCTCGATAATTAAAAAGATATGGTTAAAATGATTGGAGATTAAGATAGAAAATAGGTGGGAGTCAGTGATTGGATAAAAAGAAGAAAAAAATCAGTACCAATGCGTCATTTTGTAAGAAATTGGGCCCACCATGAAACACTTTTAGAACCTTTCAGACAAGAGGGTAGGAAGGAATTGTAGCTACACCGCACATGTTGTTACCATCGCGAAGAATTTTCACATATCCTCGTTCGCCCCAACCTTCGCCCCAGCTGTTTTTGATCAACCAATACGGAGTGTCATCCTCTTCGCCGTAGCCAACGAGTAAAACGCCATGATTCAAATTGTCCGGATCGCCTAGGCAATCGCTGTCCGAGTACACACCTGGGAACAAAGACAAGAGCAAGTCGTGTATTACCGAGCAACAAAAGAAAATACAACTAAAGCTACACTTGATGGGAAGACCACTCGGAAATTGGGGTAAATAGGTATTTTAAAAAAGCAGGGAGCGGAAGAAATGGATGCGCTCGGTAGTTTATTGTAAACCAAAACAACCAGGTATATTGCACACAAATTAGTACAACACTACCTATCTCAAAAGTCAATAGCAGCCGGAAATTGCCGAGTCAGATCAGTTAGAAAAGCTATTTTCACTATATTAAGTTAAGCCTAGTGCAAACCTAAATGATGTATAAATCTGACTTGAATCTCATGTCAAATCTATAACGAAAGTAAATCACCGATCCGAATACCGGGCCTTGAGATTCGATGCAAGCCACACACACACACATGGGAGAGCTGAGCACCTTCTGTCGCGCAACATAGACGTAAGCTGACGGAGATAGAAGAAACCAACACAATCATGGCTGCACAAGCTAAAATTCGCACAGCAAGCATCGCTTGCGTGTTTCGAATCAGATCCCAAACATCTGTAACATGGTAAATTATTGAGAAACGCTTGGTAAAACAGAGAGTGCGATTTACACTAACAATCGCGGTGCATTAGGCCGGTGGCCGAGTGGTCTGCACGCCTGGCTTGCAATCATAAGGTCACCAAATCGAATCCGCGTAGAGGGAAGCGTCTTCGCGATATACACAGCCCACGCGGGACTGGTAGTGGTCGAGCGGCAGCGGAGCGATGTTAAGGCGTAAAGCTGACGATTATTATCATTAGTTGTAATCTTACGAATACACCCGAGTGATAGGACAGCGGGGTTTAGAAAGAACGAAGCGCTTTTCAAGTGGGTGAAAATAAATAAGTACCGCAGAACTAGTGCGCATGCGTCCGTTACCCACCGATATCACTCACCTAGTGCCGCGATCTGCTGCTGTTGGAAGTGTGGATAATACGGGTTTAGTATCAAAGTACGATAGTCATAGCAACCGTACAGTAACACAGAATGATCCCTGTTCCTTAAATGGAGCATTCTGTTAACCCATCGAAACAAACAATGTCCACGCAACTCGACTGTAAAGTAAGACGCGCAACAGCATTAACCATGTCGGCATAATCCAGACGTCGACTTAACTGTGTGAGCAGCTACAGAAAGAAGTTCTCCTGGGTCTCCAAATCTTTATGGACCTCGTTCTGATATCGACATCATCATCGATACATATTAGCCGTGTGTAAGAAGCACGCCTCAGCTAATGTGACACAATACAAAAATGATAGGAGATTAAACAGTGTAAGTCACACAAGCTAAAACAGTAAGATAATATTAAATACCATTATAGACGTTGGGTTTGAGATGGTTGTTGGAGGGAAAATCTAAAGGGAAGGGGAGAGACAAAAAGAGTTGCAGCACAAAGGCCATTAACGTCGGCTCTTCGTAATGTTAGCTAGTGTATCCAACCAAACGTGCTCGTCGCCCTTCAGACTCCTGCTCGGAAGTCGGGAGACACCAACCGACGTCAACTTCGAAGTGACGGTTTGTATTTCTCGATTGGTCTCGCTCCTCCTCTTCCATCCACAAACAGCGTACGTCGAGAAAGTTGGTGGGGTGGCGTGTGCAACTGTCGCTCAACCATCGGAGCCTGGTGCGTGATATAACAGTGTTGAGCGTTTTACTCGCGCTTACTGCACCAAATATGCGACGCCGAACACGCACATTGCTCATGCAGTGCTCCTACCAGACAGGGAGTAAGCTGTGAAGACAACGATACTCGCGCGTAGCTATCCTCTTGATGTCTTCCGACTTGATGGGCCAGGTTTCACAACCGTATAGGAGGGATGGACGGACAGTTACATTGTAAACTATGCCCTGCAGGGCGGGAGTGATGTCGCGTCGGCGCCACAAGTGACAAAAAGTGGCAAAATCGCTTCGAGCTTCTGCTACACGGTCTGTGACCGCATCTTCAATTGCACAGGCACCCACGTACATGAATTCCTAAATGACTTCTAGCTGATCCTCAAAAAGGGTAAGCGCAGGGGTGGGTCCTTGCCGATCTTGGAGGAATTTGCATTTCGAGGAAGCAAAGCATAACACAAAAGGATTGACAGCCAATGCTAAGCTGTCCAGTGCTGCTTGGCACGTTTGGGCGCTGTTGCATATGAGAGCAATGTCATCAGTAAACTCCAGGTCAAGAAGTGGCTCGCCAAGAAGCCGCTCCATCTTGTAGTTCGTGTTCAGTGAACGTTGTTTTCATGGTTGCGTCAATGGTGAAGTTAAAGAGGAAGGGTGACAGCAGGTAACCTTGTTTCAAACCGCTGGAGATACTGAAAGGCGGCGACGGTTTGCTATAAAGCTGCACTCTACCCGAACTATGCGCAAAGAGCGCTCTGATAATGCTTACGCATTTTTCGGGCGCACCTTTCCTGAGCACACAGTGTCAAAAAGCACATCGATCCACCGAAAGGAAGGCATTTTGATATCGGGAAACATGACTGCGGTAGGTCGTCAATAAACATGGAAGTGCTCCAACAATTGACGTAAAGATGTGGCCGATGCAGCCTCGATTTCGACGAAACCTGGCTTGCTCCTCGCGAATCGGACTTTACGAGTGCCAGTCAGTTTGTGGAGGACAGAGGCAAGCAACTTAGAGACAAGTGAGTTCAGACTGATCCCTCTTATTGCCGCATTTTGAACGGAAGCCTGTCTTGTAAATTGGGATTATGACGGAGCGGACCCAGTTTATTGGGAAAGTCTTCTGCTTCCATAGATTCACTATTAAGCTATGCAAATCGTCTAAAACAGCAGGTTCGCCGAAGTTGAATAGGATTGGATGAAGTCTATTTGCTTCTGTGGCCTTGTTCAATTCCACAATCTGATTTCACGTTCGATTTCTGCGCCTGAGGGCGGAACTAATAGAACGGTTTAAGGAGCAGGGCGATTAATGACCGATGAAGAAACTGACAACTATGACTGAATAAAATGCTTTTCTAAGTGTTCGGCCCAACGCTCCAAGCGCTTTGACAAGCTGTGGATCGGCTGTCTACTCTCGTCGCGCATGGTCTCGTTTACACCTGGTCTCCTGCTGCCTGTTGCCCGTATCAAACGGAATAAATTATGAGGGTTACCAACGGCAGCGGCTGTTTCCAACTCCGATGCACGACGAGACCACCAAGATTCGCGGTCTCACTTTAGACCAGCACACAGTTTTGCCATGTATCTGTAAGAGGCTCATTGTGTTCGCCTTTAGCCTAAATGTGTCGGCGAGCATCATAAAGTTCCAGAGACTGCGCAGAGACTAAATCTTCAGGTTGGCGATTTGATTCATCATCATCATACTACACGTTAGCTGGAGGTGGGGAACACCTCAGCTACTGTGCCGCAATACATAGAAAAAAGGAGAGAGAGAAAAGGTAACTGGTGCAGGCTGGCTGAGCTACCGGTAACGGATAGGCATCGTTCCGGTAAGCTGCTGTGCACCAAAAAAAATTCCTATGCAAAATTATCAAATGCTAAATAGTGATCGTGGTTGGAGAGGGAGGCCAAGAGGGATGGGGTGGGACAAAGAAACTCACAGCACAAACGCCACTGAGGTCGGCTCCTAGCCATAGCAGCAAGTGTGTCCAACCAAACGTGTTCATCGACTTTCGGACCCCAACCAGGGAGCCGAGACGCTCCAACCGAGGCCAGCTGGACCAAGTCATCGCTTGGCCACCCCTCCTCTTCTTCCATCCACACCCCCGGCGCGCAAACAACACACGTCGCGGGAGTCAGTGGGCTGGCATGCGGTGCACGTGGCCGAGCCATCGGAGCCTGATGCGTGAAATAACGGTGCTGAGCGGTTCAGTTCTTTTTCCTGTGCCGTAAACGAGGCGTTGAACACGCTCGTTGCTCACGCGGTGTTCCCACCAGATGAGAGCTAAATTACGAAGGCAACGGTGGTCAAACGTAACTAGCCTCTTCAGGTCCGCTGCTTTAAGCGGCCAGGTTTCACAACCGTACAGTAGGGTCGAACGGCAATTTGATTAGACATATGAAAACCTGTCTGCTGATAAGAACGTCCGGTGGATTTGCGACCAATGAAATACAATTGTGTGCAGTGAGCGCTTACTCAGATCGGATGCCAGCGTACTTTGATTCGCATTCGGAACATGTGGCTTCGCCAGTTGGCAAGTATTTGTGTGCTCAAAGCGAAGCTGCGGACGTCCGCCAAAACGTACCCGCAGGTCGGCGCATACAAGTGCGTGATCAGAGTCCACGTTCGTGCTCCAAATCGAGTGAGCTTTGGACAGATCCACACCAGTGGTAAATGATCGAAATGTGATGGATTGGGGTCCATGAGTAAGCGTCATAGAACACGACTGCTGGTGCCGAGAGCACCCACAGAGAGAAAAGCTCAGGTGGGTACGACTGCAGTTGATCTCATGTGTATGACAGCACCCAATTGTGGTCTCAGTAGGTGAATAACACACAATAAGCTCATGGTTAAACGGAAATACCTAGACATGCCACCAGAAGCATTGATAACTAGAGGCAAATGGCAGTTCTGTGTTGGTGACTTGAAATGAACACTAATCGACAAATGAGCAACGAGAGTGGCGCTCAAGCACTGCACGAGTTATAAAGCAAGTGATATTGCGTGACGAATAAACCGTAGGTTTCTATGATCAAGAGGACGCCCAATATATAAATAGCAAAGATTAACTGTCGGCTGCTCATCGTCACATAAAGACCAAAATACTAACATGCCGGGAGAAACCTCCCTAGCTTAACTGAAATTCATTCAATCCCCGAATGTGTTTTCTAAGCGAACGTACTGTCGCTTCCAATGCTTTCAACGTCGCCAGCAGGTAGGCACTGATATCTTCGAATGCCGCTAGATGATCAAAAGCTCAGCTTTAGTAAAAACAGAGTACGTCGATATGCCAGACGCAGCAACGTAGTATGCCAAAAGTCATCATCATCATTAACACCAGTACATGAGCCATTTGAAGT